GAGCGGGACAGCCGACTGCGGCACACACCTGTCCCAGGCACCAAACACAACAACTACGAGGAAAACAACCGAGGCTACAACTCTAGGAACTGCCAGGAGAGCAAGAACGGCGCCGATAAATGTATGCAAAAAAGCAAAACGATGTTCGGAGCAGAAATACACCTTCCACACTAACGAATCCCTCCCGCCCTCCTGAAGCGTCCTGCTCCTCCTAAATCGCGACTAGTTAGAAGGCCGCACCCTCTTCAGTATGTAAAAGTGGTACAGTGGTATGTGACAAATTTAGTTATTGTATCTATCCACATAATAATTTTCCTCAGTCGTTCTAGATCTTTTATTATCAGTATAATATTGGAAAATCTATAATTTAAATAATAATAACGTAGTATTTTTTATCAGTCCTCTGTGTGTTTTCTAGTTACTTATGTTACCTATAACACAAACATACTTATTCAATATTTTAGTTTTAATATTTTGCAATAATTCTTTTTTAAATGTATTTCTTTACGAGCAACCACTGTTTTCCTTTTTCTCTGCCTTGTCGTGTGTCGTAAGTTTTTGCTAATAATAATATGGCAAAAAACACATATAAAGAATGAAAAACAGCAAGGAGAACAGCAGAGATCAGCAGAGCGAAAGAACAAGAAAGAACATCACATGACAAGTTGGGTGGGTTGGGAAAAGTTCAGTCTGGAGACCTGCCCACAGTCCAATCTATTGCTAACAGAGGGCCAGGAGAAGGGGTAATGGGGCAGTGCTGTCCGGCTGGGAGGCACTGAAAAGATCGCTCTTAGCTTATCGCGCTTATCAAATCGCCAACTGACAGTTGGCAGTAGGAAAGAGGAAAATGGGGAAGAAAAACTGAGACAGAGAACTGGAAAATGCGAAAACCCGGCCGGGTAATATATTGTACAGGGAGTGAGATAAGGCAAATCCATCAGGTTAAGTCGATGTTTTTTGCTCGGCTTATTTAAGATGAAATTATTTGAGATTTCCTCTTATTAAAAAAAGAGAGGTGAAAAAAACTATTACATAGATTAAAATAGATTAGATGGATAGGTTATCGGAAATCTATTATTTTATAAAATAACTTGACGATCGAATTAACAAAAGACTGATTTTACAAATGTATAATGTATGTTTACTTATACTAGAGCTGACTGTATTTTAGTTGACTAAATGTTTATAAATAGATTAGACACTCAAATTTCCCACAATTAATTATATAAATTATATTAATAGCCTTGTGTAATCCTCCTTCTAATCGAACATCGCTTACTTTTATTCATTCCAGATTATTCAATTTCTTTTCACACATGCTCCATGATTTATCAATTAGCAGATGTAAAAAGAGACAGATCTGCTTGGAATTCAATTTTTTAAATCAAAAGAAAATTAAGGGAATTTCATTTGTATTTTATGATGGCCCCACATGGCGTATGCGCGTTCATAAAATATTAATGCGCCTCGTAAAAGCCGGCGACATGAGCCCATAAACTTCAGCCGTTTCTTATCAATAGTGAACTCAACTTAATCTTAGCTAGATGGAAAAATAAACGAAAACCCTGACTCGATTTTGGATTTTGCAAAAACGTGGTCGACAGAGCACAAACCTTATCAAAAAATTGCCCAAAAACATTGATAAGGCGTTAAAAAACATACTAGGAGTTTTTTCTTTAAGTTCAGAAACGTGCTTTCCACTGGATTCAACCAATTCAACCAGAAAAACACGATGAATGACAACGGCAAACACAAAAAGATTAATAAAAGAGATTAGCATAAATTTAAAAATTTTGTGAACGATAGGCGAGCAAAACGAAATCCATAAAAACAAAGCAGAAAAATAACAAAACAGTTACGAAAAGAAAAAACATAAACCTGTTGGCGCCGCCATAATAAACAAATAAGCTTGATTTCAAAACATGAAATTTCAAAAATTTGCGACCTGAAATTGAAATTCTTAGACTTAATAGCAAAGTCCAAGTTGAAACTTTGGCGACAGATTTTATACAAGCGAGTATAAGAGGAGCGGAGCAGTGAAAGTCGAAATGTTGATTAAAACCTGACAAATTCATTTTATTTATGGCGCCGCCTTCATTATATACCTTTTATATTTTAATTTTTACACCCGTTACTCGTAGTACGTAACAGAAAGGAGGAAACATTTCCGACTCCATGATCAACTATCAGGATCACTAGGTGAGTCATTAGAGTCAATCCGTCAGTATGAACGCAGAGATCTCGGCTAAAAAGTTTGGATTAAGCAACACGCAGTTCAACTTTATTTAAGAAGGGTGCCACGCCCATTCTAACAACCAAAAACCTCACAAGTTTATGGCGCCTACATTGAAACGCTATATTCGAGTGCTTCGACTATCAGATACCCGTTACTCTGTTTTTAATTTCAAATAAAATAAAATTCCAAGGCATTTCTAAAAGCGCGCCGGTACCTAGCCGATGGTAGAGGCACTACTGACTATGTCAAAGCCTGTTTAACATAGTTAGTCATAACTTTCAAAAGAAAAATGTGATTGGTTCGATTCTCAGCATTTACATTCATCAATAAAATCAATTTCAATTTACACTTTTAGCATTGTAATCGTTTGTAGTTTTTAGAGTGGGCGTGGCACCCTGCTGAAACCTGCGCTGCGCAAGAACCTTAAAGATCTGCATGCTATATCCCAACTTCTTAGCTTTTATGTTTTCCGAGATCTCAGCGTTCATACGGACAGACATGGCTAGATCAACTCGTTTAGTGATCCTGATTAAAAATATGTATACTGTATAGGGTTGGAAACTTTGGACCAATACTGATAGATACGTAACTTTAGGAAAAGGTTAACAACTATTAAAAACAGTGACGTGTATTTTATTCTTGCTTTGGTTACTATTTATTAAATAGTATTTAATAGTAGAACTACCATAAAATGGTAAATTGTGTGTATTTTGTTGTTGCGACGAATAACTATTTCGTTGGTCGATTTGACAATTCGATAGGTAGGAAACACTCAACTATTATATTGCCACTTTTACCCAAAAGTTTTTTGTGTATACAATATACAATGATACATATACAAATATTCCTTAAATAAACAAATATATTTCCTTGTGTCGACGTGTACTTAGATTTACTCGTTATGCTTTATAATGAATAAAATGTTATGGTTTTTTCGGATTACAATTTTTTGAAATTCAATTGTTACTCAATATGTTGATTGTTTTGCTTTTTTTTGGTGATCGAAAGTACTGTTCTGCTCTCTTATAATCTCCGTTTTGATCTGTTCTTTTTTTGCGCTGCAAATGTGCCGCAAGCCGTTTGTTTTGTTATTTCTGCGACTTTGACTTCAGTTCCCCTGCCATTCCCGTTCCCGCTCCAGGGTTTCCATGGGCTCTGCTCAGATACGATCCAATACGACCGATCCGATTGGATCCGACTTTGCCAGACGGAAAACACATCCACATCCCATAACGAGACGAGGGCCCAGACCAAATCCAAAACGAAAACCCCGAGCAAAGTACAGAGACTTCACAGCAGACAATGTTGGCAACCGGTTTGCGATTTATTTTTGTTGCTACCCCCTCGCACAGATCCCCTCCCCCTCCCCCTCCCCCTACCCCTTCCCCCGCCCAGCAGCCCATCCCGTTCGCACCCTCGCACTGTCTCGCTCGCACTGGCTCATTATTATTATTTGCTGAATATTTAACATTGAAGCTGGTCGAAGCGGATTTTCATGGCACACACACCAGTTTGAGCGCAGAACAAAAGTAAATAAAAAGGGGTGGATGGGTTCGGAAGAATGAAATACCCTTCTATAAAAATATGGACTAACAACTTTAAAGTAATTTCTAAGAAAAACACATTTTAAAAGACTTACAAAGTCAGCTAAAAATTTAAAAAATACGTAGACGCCCCAGGATCTGGTTTAGTTTAGTGGTTGCTTTGAAGCTAATGTGCCTTAACATGACTCCACCTTGCCCCCATTCCGAGATACCCCTTACAGGGTATAACCCGCACGGCGACAGCAAAAAGGCATCTTGTCCGCAGGCTTCAAACAAGGCGCAGACGGGCCGCAGATAAATTGAGCGAAAAGCTAAAAATAAGCTCCATTTGTTGCTGCGCTGCCGCGGCAGCAAACATGCCGAAATGCGGCAGACGCTTTGGCAACCGCAAAATGCAGTGGCAGCTATACAACAATTTGGGCAACAACATATCCAAAAAAACACAAAATTCTCCAGCGGAAAATGTATTATTTATTGTTTTTGCGTGGAAATATTTCGCGAGCGCTGTTTAAGCATAAAATTAAGTAGTTTAAATAAATAATCAGAAAAAATGGCCTAGCCGAAAAAAATGTTTTACACCCCGACCACCGAACCAGCGCCATAAATTGCAGCTGCATTGAAAATATAATTATTATGAATTCATTATAAATGGCTCGCGGTGAAATTTGCTTTTATAGTATATACTTTTTGCATTATGTTGTGCGTTGCGTTTTTGTACTTTTTGTGTCTTTTTGACGGAGAACACAAAGTGTCGTTAAAGAAGATCGAATTGAATGTGAATGGAAGCGTCGTCGCCGTCCGAATATGGAGCCGCAGTAGCCACCTTTGAAATATTTTTACTTGTATCGCTTATGCTGTTGTGGCGTGGGGCGTTCGTTCGTATGCATAATTATATTTAAAATTAAGATCTTGGCTGGGGAGACGTGGTTCATAAGAATGGGGGAGAGCAATAATTGAGCGAACGAAAGGCGAAGAGATTATCAAGTTAATAACAATCCCCTTCGTTCTGGGAAATTGTTGACCTGTCCAACAAGGGGAACACATTTCCAATAGCAACACTTGACAGTTGAGCTCGTGTTTAATGAGTGGTATAGAAGGGAAACGAAAAATTATATTTATAATTCAGAAATTAGGCATAGAGCAGAAAATAAATCGATGGAGATAAACATGATTTGAATGATTAATTCTTCTTGCATTCCAGAAATCCCATCGAAACTCACCTTTCTTTTCTTGTGATCCAATTCCCGCTGCTTCTCCTTGAGCTCCACCTCCTTCAGCTGATCCAGGACGATCTGGTACTTTTCGCGGTTCTCGACGTCCAGCGCCACATGAAGGTAGTCGTGCCAGTTGCGGGAGTCGAAGCCCCAGTGACAGGTCTGGTTCTCGAACTTCCGGTGCACATGACCCACGAACTTCTGCGGCGAGAACCAGCCGTCGCACTCCAGGCACTGGATGCAGGTCGGCTTCTGGTACGAGTACATGTCGGGGGTGCAGATGCCCTCGCACTTGCCAAAGCACTTGTGATAGACGTGGAAGCTCAGCGCTCCCTTGGCCAGGCTCTCGATCGGGACGTAGCTATTGCGGTCCGATCGGTGGAGCAGAGCCGCACAAAGTCGCTCCGCGTCGGTTCTGGTGATCAGCCCGCTGGCCTTGACGTCCGATGGCAGGATCTTGGCGGCCTTGAACTCCACCAGCTGATCGGGCGTGCACTGCGAGCAGTATATGCCCAGCTCATCGAAGATCCTGTTGATCTGCTCCAGGGAAAAGTCGTTCAGGACATTGTTGAGAAACTGGGGCAGGCAAAGTCTCATTTCTCCGCCCACGGAAAAGCATCCTATGGTTTTTCCCTCCAGCTTCGTCTCGTAGAGTTCTCCACAACCCGCATCAGCCACGGATAGAATCGGCTGCGAGAGTTCCCGGGGGGGCGTGGCGGGTGGATATATCTGAGGAGGCGTGCCCCTCGAGGAGCACTCATGATGGAGTTCCTGGGGCTCTGGCGAGCTGAGTATTTCCTTCTTTATCAGGGCCACAACTGGCGAGGAGGCCTGACACTTTCCGTTCGACAAGCCCAGGCCAGGACTGTCGCTTCTTCCATTGGTGGCAATATCAAGGACACCGGCGGCTGTTAGGGTGTGTCCTGGACCCTGGAGCGATTTGGTGGCACTCGTCTGGTATTTCTTCAAGACGGTGCTGATCATGGGCGTCACGTATTCGGTCATTTTGGGCGATACTTTAGATAACCAAGTTTCGATCGTTGGGTCTGCACTAGTAGTCCATTTTAACTAGTTTTCGATTGTGACCCTCTTGATTTGAAAGCGATTGATGGATATAATGTTGCTTCCTTCAGGGATGCAACATTTCTTTGAAGCTGATTAAGATCGAAATAGATCCTTTGGATTCCCTGCAAAAATGTGACTGTCTTGTGGCTTACAATTTTTTATTATTTCTAATTCAAACTACGATTGGGATCCATATTACTTGCATTACCAGTGGTTTTAGGCTAATTTTCCCATCTGTCCGGTTCTTTTACCTAACAATTTGGCACATTTGTTGATTGGTTTTGTTTGATTTTGCCAGCTAGCTTAACTAACATCTAGCATTTTGCCGACGGCATTTTAGCTCACACACAGGCACACTCACAGGATTTTCTTTCTTTATTTTGTCGCGTGTTTAGAATATTTCGATATTATTTCAGTCGTATTTATAGAAATATATATCGGCCGGCGTTTGTCGGCGGTGTAAAACTTGTGCGCACTTTTCCTATGCCCTGCACTTATTAAATTTTCGCCATAAATTAATTTCTCTTCGGCGCAATTTCTTAAGTTGAATTTTTGTATTTCATTTCGTATATCTCAATTTCTCAACTTTTTTATCTTTGCGCTGCACACACTCACTCACGGATACGCGGCGACACACGCACACACGCGACGAAGGCCGGCAGACAGAGACGGAAGGCGAGAGGCGAGCGGCCAGCAGGCAGCGAGTGCGACTGAGGGAGAGAGAGGGAGAACAAAAACAAACGCCGCCTGACAAATTCTTTATTGTGCTGCTGCCGATGCCGTTGCTGTTGTTGTTGCACTATTTATAAATCTTTTTGCGCTTGCAAATTATTTTCGCACTCGTTATCGAATATTTATTTGGATTCCGCCTCGCAGGGCCCCCTCCTCGCAAAATATATATTTCCTATTACTTTTTGCAAGCGTCGCACGTGCGAGCTTTTTCCTCGATATTTTTATTCGCCACTCACACACCCTCGCACGGAGAGCGACACGTCCGAACGGTTTGAGAGCGAGAAAATTTTTAAATGCAAACCGCTGCGAACGTATACGCGATGCGATGGAGACTCGAAGCACTGCCGGCCGATTTCGAACTCGAAAGTACGCCGAATTCGAGCTTACGTTCTCTTTGCCGCCGACTGCTCTCTTGGCGCGAAGCACTCTTAATTTGATTGGGTGGCGCGCTGTTAGGCATTGCGACCCCATTTCGGCATCATGTTCGGGATCTCCACCAGAAAATATATCTTTCTTATTATTTATTTATTTTGATATTTGAAAACAATCATTCTACGCTTTTTTATACAACAGTTACGTATATTGTGCAAGCATATTAATAAATACACGTGTATGTATGTACTTGGCTGTATTTTGGGCATTGAAAGATTAAACTTCGGAGTTCCTACAGAAAAGGCGCCAGATCCTTAGTTGGTGAAAGCAACGCGTCCTTGGGCTATTCACTTTAAATGAATTACTCACCAATCAAATGATTTTAATTGGCAAGTCAAGAGTCGAGTCCTGCCTTAAGCACAAAAAAATTTGGTTGGTAATATTGACCAATGCAGATAGTTTAGTAACTATAAAAAATTGTACTTTACTATTATGAATGGTTGTGTATGTATTTGTTCTTGCTTTCTGTGCAATTTGCAATTTAAAGATTATATTTTTATTTTGCTTTTAAATTACCATGTCAACTTAACTTATCTATAAATTTATTTAATATCTTTATCAATTTTACAAGCTTATATTTAATATAAAAAATTTTGCAAACTATATTTTTTGGGTTGGACAAAAAGTTATTTAACTACAATACATGGGTTGGGGTCCATTTTACCATTTTGTATAGTTACATAACTATTTTTATAGTAAGCCTGACGTTTACGTCTTACGTAGGGGTAACTATTTGATAGGTAAAATTGACAATTCGATGGTTGGGCACCGGTTACTATTATATTTATACTATTATATAATATAACTTTGAAAAGCGATTATTGCTTGAAGTAAAATTGAGAAAATCACATTTGCAAAAACATTTAAAAATCCCGCCAAAACAGTGCAAAAAATTTAAGAGAATCATCGGTACGAACTAGCCAAGCGACAGGGTCGTTTCTTTTAAAGGTCTTTTCAAAGCGGCTCACCGCTCTTTTGCGCATAACAGAACATATGATCTGTTAATACTAACAGAGTAGATTCGCTCTTCCCAAAGTTGTAGATGGCGTGTTACGTTTTGGCATTTTGCTTGTATGCCAACACACATGGCGGATTGTTTTAAATTTTAACGATACAAAATGTGGAGTAACTTCTTAGTGAAAATAATTAATTAATTAGAACAGTGATGTCCAAGAAACCTGTATCCCATGTAAACTCTTAAATTGCCAATCTTTAAGTAAATAAACACGATAAAAGCCACACTCTTATTACCATCTACTAGTTCTGACCAAGAAGAGCTGTTAAAATAAATTCCACGTTAAATTTAGATCTTATATCCCATGTCCATAAGACCATTTAAATGCCCTTCACTTAATTCAGCAGTATCTGCAGGACCAGATACTGCTTTCAATGGAGGTATATTTTTAATTCCTTGTATTCTATACTTTTATTTAAATATTTCAGGAAAAGTTTCCCTATGGGCAAACGGATAACGTACGCACTTAAAAGATTAGATTTTACAATACGTGGACGAAATAGCAAGACCAGTTTACAATGCTTAATCAAAATATAATCAAATCTGCAAGAGCCGTCGATAAGACTAACTAAACACATCGTACGTTTGACCGGTTTAGTTCTTATCTAACCGCGGTTCGAAGATGTTGCTGAAGTTCTGCAAACACAATGAGTCCTCTACGAACGGGGGTTCAACAAATTTTGCTCTACTGATGTCACTACTACTTGGTAACGCACTCCGCAATTGAATCCACACTTCATCTGCCTCATTTGTCTCTCTCTATTATTACATATACCCTTCAAAAAGGAATTCACATTTGTACGGGCCGGTATACCTACATATGTGAACGCTTTTAGTGAATATGGAAATGCGGAATATTATATTGTCATTGTTATAAGTGTCAACTGTTAGATATAGTTCTTGTTTTTCATAGTGGAGAGAGGTGTGTGATCTTAAAATTGGAACTATGATTGCTCACAATAAAAAAATACCACATGTGTGTATCTGAAAGGCAAGTACAAACCATACCTCTAAAAGGTGTAAGATGAACTAAGTTTTGAAAAGGGCAGTTTTAAATTTACTTTTTTTATTTTGCTTATAAATTACCATGCTAGTGACGTATGAAGTAAATTTAAAAATGTTATATACATATGTACCATACAATATAGTTAGCAAGTTAGTTAGATAACTACAATAATAGATACTTTACGTTACCATATTACGTAAGAGTAACTATTTAATGGGTCAAATCGCCAACTCGATAGGTTGGTCCCATTTAACTACTGTGTTACCTACAGCCCTTTACTTGGTACTTTTAAATATAATTTTACATAAGATACCAAATTCTTTATTTAAGAGCGTTTTTGTTATTTCATCTTATTCTTGAAATAAGAAAAAAATCTTAAAATCAGAACAAACGTTTTAAAATTAAGAAAAAGTTAATCCTAACTTGTAATCAAATTCGGAATGCAGCGTGGCCTAGCGCGTATAGGGCTAGCGACTTTGAATTTGAATAGAGCCCATGAAGCGATAGTCTGCAAATATTTTTATTTTCACCACCTCTATAATGAACTTCATGTTCGCGCTTTTCCCATTTCGTATTAGAATGCTAGCTGACCTAGCGGTTACTGTATTTGCATTATAAGTTTGTGGTCGTTAGTTCCATCGCCGAAGAAGGCAAAATAATTCCTTTGTATAAGTTTGGAAAGTCATTGTATGAGGATAGGCATATGAAAAGAAATAAAACTAACTATAACAACTTTAAAAAAAATTAAAATATATATTAAAAAAATCTAATTTTAAGTTAAAGCCATATTAAATATTCTTAACAAATGAATTTTAATAAAAATGGTTCTTGATTAATGAAATTTGGGTGTTGATTAAAGCGACTTGAAGATATTTAGATGCAGTGGGATTTTCATAACTTGATCTCAACTTCATTTTTGTACAAGGACAGCAAATAAACATTGAAATAATAAAGTGTTTGTCAGTTGAATTATTTTTATTCTAACTAGGTTACCCTGCAAGCATTTTCTATCGCGGAAGGCACTTTTTGGATACCGGCATTCGGATCGCGGAAGTGACTCCCTTCTCACTCAGAAGTGACTTTAGGGACGCTTGTTAGATATCTAAAATAGCCTTCCAATCAGATAATATTTAGTAAAATAATTGTTATTTTACGTATTTTATTGTATTTATTTTTTTTATGTGGTTTTTAGACGCTTGTCGGCATGACGGTCCCTGGCATGCAAGAAATGCTGTTGAACACTTTTATTTATGTCCAGCTCCGTTAAATTGTGAAATTTACTAAACGCCATTTCTTAAAAAAACAGAAACTAAAATGGTTTTTTGTTCAGTCAAAATAAAAATAAACTTGAAGGCAATATCTTTTATAACCAAATAAGTGGATGATATTTGAAGCTTGTCTGTCGGGTTTAAGGGCCAACCTCGTAAACGCCGAAACGTCGCGTTCTCCAAGACTTTAAGTTTTTATCAGGTTACCGTAAACGGCATACATTTTGGTACAATTCTACAATTGGAAATCGACCAAAGTGTCGATGGGCAGCATTTGGAGATAACTCCTTAAGAATTCTTTCAAAGGAAGAATCTAAAAATGTGTGCATTACTTATAAAATGAAGACTATAACCAATATGTTTAAAAATATGCACTTGCTATGGGGCTAAGTTGCGTCAAAATGCGTCGGATAGGAATGTCCCAGAAATTAAAAGTTATTATTGTGTAATATACATATGTACATACATATGTATGTATGCGGTTTTTGTTTTTGATTTTAAAACAATACTCATTTCTAAATTTTCATAGTTTCAATTTTATTTTTAATTTTAATAATATAAATAATAAAAAATAATCCAATTACTTTTTTCAATAGTTAATTTATGGATAACATTTAAGAATACAATTAATACTTTCCTGCATCCAAAATTTGAGACAAATCTCCAAACAAAATGTTGCTTGAACGAAAAATGGGTCAAATGGGAGACCGAGGAGTTTTAAAAAACAAAGGGGTAACGGCAAATTATCATAACCTCATTTTATCCCGTGAGCGCTTTTTTTTGCTTTCCCTAATATCTTCTTTTCAACTTCTAGAAGTAATTGTGAAGACAGTTTTTTCGCAATAATTTTGTTCTACCGTCTTATATCGTCCAGAAGTGACTAGGAAGTCACTTCTTCGCGATAGATGTATAATTTGTATTGTAAAGTGTGTTACCTATATGGTGTTTCTATCTGCCAGAAGTTGGTGTGAAGTGATAACTATCGCCCATTGGCTAGCAGGGAAAGGGTGTATGAGCTTCGGCGTTCACAAGACCTCATTTCTCGATATTCTCATTTCTGTTTGCTCTCCGCGTCTGCGCCTTGGAACCGGCGACAAGTTGAAGCGAATCATTGTTGTGCAGTTGCATTACAGCATTCGGTGAAAGTGTAAGAGCAGAACGGAGCGCTGCCATAAATAACAATCACAACATCAATTTCCCTCCATTCACGCACACATGCCCACAGAGAAGTAAACAAATTGGTATATTGGCATTGTATTGCTTCGTCTTTCACTGTGTGCCAGTTATAAGTAAGGTAAGGAAGCCAATGGGCTTATCTATCGCTCATATAATGCCCTCTGCGCGTCCCATTGTTCAATTATGGAATATTAATGCCATATTATTCGCCCACTCGCAGTTCTCGTGGCCAAAATCAATGGGGCTGCTCTGAACGGCAGCAATTATCAGTACCAAGTGGGCGAGCAAAGAACGCCAGCCGATCCCCAGGTCCTACATTTGTTGCTGGAAGATTCGGATATGGTGAGGGTATGGGGCACAAACCTGACCGCAATAACCTGGGCCCATGCGGTCAACAGTCAACAGCTGCTGGACGAGGCCCTCACAGAAACCGGTAAGAGCACCCTAATATCATAACATACATTTCTCAAGCGAATCCTCCTTCAAAGCTAACATCGACTTTATTGAGGCGGACATTGTTCTGGGCAAACTAAATGGCGAGGGCGAGGACATGCCCGTCATGGCCCATCCGCCAGCAATCGTCTCCGACCTCTCGCTATCGGAATTCCTTAACCAGATCATGGAATTCAACCGGAATCACGAGGGCCAGGAAAAGGGAGTCAAGCTCGACTTCAAATCGATCGAGGTCTTTGAGGGCTCCCTGGGCATTCTCGACGAGAGTATTCCTAACGTGAGTTAAGAAACAATTACATTCTTCACGGGTTAAACTTATTTATTTTAAATTTATTTGTATATTTCAATTTCTTTAAACTGCCAGAAAGAAAAATTTATTATATTGCCTAACAAAAAAAATTAAAATTAAAATGTTAACGTTTTTCACCTTTTAAAAATAGTATTCTACTAGAAATACAACGTTGACAAAGAACTGTTACTTAATGACTTTACAATGAGCAATGGCTATAAAATTAAATACGATTGCTAAGCTTTAACTAGCAAGAGAGAAGAGTGCATAATATGCAACCGTTTAGCTTGTTAAATGCGAAAGTCACTTATACAACTACCTAATGATTCTCCCTGTTGTGCAGATGACCTACCCTGTTTGGATGAACGCCGACATCCTAAGTGGTCCCGTAGAACAGAACAAAACCGTGCCTGTGGATGCGGATCGCTTCTTCGCCGGCTGCATGCGCTACAAGAAAGCGGCGCTCTCCATCGGCTGGACAACCAACTGGGGCGCCGACTTCCGGGAGGGCGAGTACACGCAGGACCAATGTGATGCCATGCTAGAGTCCCTGACCGCCAACAATGTCCTCTCCACTGGCCAGGGCATCACCTTTCCCGTGCGCGCCGGAATCGCAGCCAACAGCCAGGAGCAACTGCACCGACTGGTAGCCGCGGTCAACGAGACGAACGAGAGCACACTGACCATATGGTCATCCGCCGGCGACTATGTGGATGTGGATAAGTTGCGCCAGCTGATCTTCGGCTTCGGGCTGGAACGAGTGTACTTGGACGTGCCGGAGGAGTTGGCCTCACAATTGGATCTGGGAAATCCAGGCAACGGAGCCAGCACCTTCAAGTCTCTGTTCAGCTTTAGCTTCGTCAGCCTCTGCTTTTGGGCTTTGTCCAGCTGGTTGCAGCGGATATAATAGTGTTCACTAAGTGATTCAAATATGTAGGTACAACTGTCAAAGCAAATTAAGAAATTTGGTGCAAGATCGTAAACTTAGTAATGTGTGTAATAAAGAGTTTTACTTTAATATATATATTATTTTATTTTCTTCAAATTAATGGAATTTTTGGAAATCGCCCTTGGTTCATAAACTATATTACAATTCAAATATAATTTTTTTTACGTTAATAGGTCTTTCAGATTTATTCAAAATTACTTGCGGGTAATAATTTTATAAGCAACATCTTTTCATTTTTAAATTTTTTGAGCAATTGTTTTTTACCAAATAAATGTGTTGATAACTACATATTCATGTACCCAACTTTAAGTGAATCTTTTACTTTATACTGTCCTTTTAAGTCAAAATATCATGATATGTCTGGAAATTAATGGCAGGGGATCCATACGTAAGTATTTCAATAATATTGCCTTTAAAATAGTTAACAGTCCCTCCTTCATATCTTGCTTTGATGTATTTATATTTATTCTCTTCTATAAATTTATCTTAAGGAATTTTTGGAAATATTTCCGGGGTTCACAGCTGTGCTCTACTATCTAATTCTCACACTGATTGACATATTTACATGGGATATGCGAAATCTCTGCAGTGTTAGTGCTATTTGTACAAGACTTAAAACGATAACTGCCCAGTCTCAGGCCAATCTGAATGAGAAAGAGTAAAAACTCCTCGCTCTTTATGTTCTGTTCAATATGTTTACATTATCACTTCATCTCAACTTGGATTAAAACTTAACTTATCGCTTTACAAAATTTATGCATTTTCGTATAAATATAAATACTTTGGGCATGAGCAGTTTTAACTTCAACAATTTAAGAAAATGAATTAATGGGCGCTTAACGACTCGCTCTATTTACAGCTTAGTTTAACCTACTAAAATAGTTAATGACTTTTGCTTGGGTTTTCTTTTTTGGCACTAAAATAAATAATCTTATGTATCTCTCTCGCTGTCTGCTTATCGCGCAGATGTGTTGAGGGAACTCCTAAGGCGTGGCAATGTGGTATGTGATGTGTTCGGGAGCAATGTCCTCGGTGAGCAATTGGGTCCAGCCTCTGTGGGCATGGTTAAGGCAGAATGGCTTAATCATTTGTGCTACTCTAAGCTACGGCGACGTAAATGAGTCTTAGGCAGATGATCGTTGGGGGCACCGTCAGAAAAGCTTGATGCCAACGCATGTATTATCTAATTATGACATCGGGCGAGTCCTCGGCGATCAGTCGTTCCCTGGCCGAGTTCTCCGTGGTACCGCTCTCCGCCTTCAATCCGGAATCGCGATTATAATCCAGCAGCCGCACTCCAACGCGGTCGTTGCCCGGCGAACTAGTGTTGTTGCGGAAAATCTGGGCAGTCGGAGCCGAAGGTGCAGCTGAATTTACACCAAAGGCGGCGAGAGGACTAAACGCACTAGCTTTGGCCTTGGGATCGCTTTGACAGAAGTGCGTGACCTTCCGCGTCGGGTACCAGCAGGTGCATATGAGACCGCCGGCCAGCAGGATGCCAGTTGCAATCTGTCCTAGCAGGACAATCAGCGAAACCAGCGCGATGTCGGCTGCGATTTCCTCCGTTACACGAACTCGTTCCTCGCACCACATCATGGGAATCATGACCCTTGGCACATTTTTGTAGAGACTGAAACAGAAAAAAGATAAATTAAAGTTATACGAAGACTGGTCAGAAGGATTTTTTCTCATTTGAGTTAGTTAAATAGTAAAACTTATTGTTTTAAATACATCACTATCTTATATTAAATTACATCATAGGTTGATTCATGAAGGATTACTTTAATAAGGAACAACAAGCTGATGTCAATAGCTTGGACCTGCATGATAAATATCAGTTGTGGTAATATGTTTTTGATTAATTACGATTAAAGGATTCTTAAGTTCTAGAAAGGGTCACCGAAACTAAACATTCCCTTAATTAATTCCAATTTGTTTCAGTTAAACAATTTACTAGTTTCTTGAGAATTCTCAAGCTCTTGTAAATGTCTTTCGCTTGTAGGACAGGACACTTTTCCAGTGCGTGTTTCTGAAATTTGTTATCTAAAACATAACATAAGGGCTTTAACATTCGCTCTTTCTTACGCGCCTGTTTTAGTTTAGTTTTGGAACAAAATCCCATTTACACTTTTACTAAGTCTGGCACCCTGCTGAAATAAGCTTGCGCTGCGGAATCTCACGAATCTGCATGTCTAATCCCAACATGCTAGTTTCCGAGATCACAGCGTTCATACGGACAGACAGATAGGGTCGGAAGCGGTTTCTTCTTTCTGTGATATACTTTCCGACCAATCTGATATACTTTTTTACTCTACGAGCGACAGATGTAATTATGTGAATACTTAGATAAAAATTCGTTAATTTGTAGCTACTTACTCAATTCCCTCAATGGGCTCCATGTAGTAGTTGGCCTGGAAGCCACCGCCCACGTCCATTGGCACGCCCGCATTGGGTTCCAGCGTCATGAAGAACTCGTGCTTCTCGCGTTCCGGTTGCAGACCTTCGATGGCCTCCAGATAGCTCGCATCCGCCATGTAAAAGTGCGGGAACGACATGTAGACAGACGCGTTGAAGGCACAGGGTCCTATGTTGATCACCCCGATGGGCAAACACTTGCCGCCGACGCAGTAGCAACTCGTCTCCGGGTACAGTGTTCCGTTGTCCACCGCGTGCTGAGTGCCACTAAACTTGTAAGCAGTCACTCCGTGCACCGTGACTGTTTCCGTGTAATCCAGCGGTATAGCCCGGCACATCTTTGGCATGTACATGTAGACGCTGGCGTTGGTGCTAAGGTTGGGCGGAAAGAACTCGCCCATGGAGCCACGAACCTGCCCGCAGGTGCCCTCAAAAGCTCCAGTGTGCGTCAGGTTATTCCACGTATGAATCTGACCCATTTTGGCAATATCGTCGGACCCTGTAAACATGTTAATGTCTCCATCGAAGCTGGCACTGCCGTTCCGCGGGTACTGGAATCCTACTCGCGCGTAGGGAACATCTTGGGGTCTCAGCAGCTTGCCAACTTTTATGAATTGGTGATCGTAGCCCTTGAAGAGCATTTCATCTGCGGTTTTCGTGACGGACACATCCTGACCATAAGCTCTATTGGCAACGTTAACAGCTAGTCTGCCTAGCCAGCTGTCAGCGCCACGTCTAGCCGCAGCCTGTGGAAAAAGGATATATTAGTTGAAGTTTTCAGTTTCGATGTTATTATGTTGCGAACTTACATGTGCTACGGAGTTAACTTGAGTGACAATATCTGACAAACTTCCGTTGCTTCCGGCAGCATCAAAGTAGAACCAGGATTTTTTATGGAATGAGACTGAAGCGTTCTGATTGTGCCATTCGATGTCCACCTTGTCGGGTTGCTCTCGAAACCGATAGGGTCCCAGTTGCTCGAATCGCGGTTTCTTGCCTGATCCCACAAAGAAGTCCTGTGGATTCGTCCAGTTAAACAGGTAGACGTCAAAGTTAAGCGGCAGTGGGGAGACCTTCCAACCCTCAAATGATCGTGATGTTGGACTTAAGGCCATTTCCTAAAAAAGTAAAATATTACACATAGGGATAAGCTTAACAAAATGGATAACTATCAAATATAATTGACGATCAATGTTCAATAATAAACGATTTACATTATAATTGAGGATAACTGGGTGTAAGACTTTGATATCATTTCTACATAGAATTCGTTGGCGAAAAATTGCGCATCGAATTTATGAACAATGTGCATATTGAAAACCCGATCAAAGTTCACGAATGATCTGTGCAATTGGTATCCGCTGGAGGTTCCGTAATTGATTCGGAATATTTCAAAGGGAGAACTTGTGCCTATTGAAAATGCCTTTGAACAATTGATTTACAGTTTGCTTCAGAGGCATTTTCAGAGTCTAAAATTTATATAACAAAAAATATTTACTCTGCTTTTTCTTTGTGATTCAATAGCAATTTTATAACTCAATGATAACAAAATATGCAAAAATCACAACAACTTTTTTCTCATAATAATACATTTTCTGGGCAACTTAAAATAATAACGCATGCGAAATTCCAAAATTTAATCTCTTTCTCAACCATAAACAATTTCTACCATACATATACAGAAATGTTTAAGAAAAGAATTTACATCTTGTGAGTAGGTTAATATTTAATTAGACATTGTTTTAATTACTTGCATAGGGAGATGAACTGTCGATGATTAAGCAAATGATAAAACATATTTTTTAGAAGCTAACATAAATTTTCTAAAATACCCTTTAATGCAAATGTGTCCCAAATAAAATAATTGTATTTTTGTTGTGTAATATTTTGAATGCAATTTCCAGCTACTTTGTCGGGTTCTATCTCCGCAAAATTTGAGGTGCTATGGTGCGATTACATGCATTCGTTAGAAAAGTGCTATCAGCCATCAATCATTGTAAGCCAGAATGACAGACCTAACGATTGTCTAGATCGTAGACCAGTGGGCCACCATTTTGTATGGCCCAGAACCCTATAATCTTTATAATTGGAACTGCGACTGTGCTACAGGAAATGACTAAACTGATAAAAAGAAAGCGAATTGGGTTCGAAGCGGTTTCGACAATGTTCACGTCAAGCCCTGTAAAATCCTAATGGATTACACCTGTCTGCCGGGACTCGGCGTAGAACACAGGTGTTCGGTCAGGGTCATCGGACCTGGCACAGTGTGGTTACATGTTAGCCTGGATGGTTAAGGCCATTTATGAACATTTTCACCATATTTTCGTATACGTATGGAACCGAAGAGCGTTGTCTAATCGAACACATGGCTATCGCTAAATGGGTTATTTTTCAGGTTTTGTCCAAGATAAGATAGCAAACCCCATTGCAATTTCGCGGCCGAAACTCCAACAATTCGGAGGGAATTTCCGCCTTTCCAGAGACCAGCAACATAGGGGGAAAACTTCGGTTTGAATTATTGACCCCGCATCCCGTGATTCACAATGACAGGTGTGCCCTTTTTTGATAAAGTGAATTAATCACTTACTATTATTAGTTGACTTGAGTAAGTACTAAATCGAAAAGGAATCATGATCAAAACATAAAAACAACACCTGGCCAAACAAAAAATTATCAAATTGATTCATTTTGATTGATGGTTTCTCAGAATTTAATACTGTTTTTTTTTTTTACTTAAAAAGGAAGGGAAAAAGTATAAAGCTTTCGTTATTATGTATGTAGGTACATTTTTATCACAATAGTAGTATTTAAGATTAAAAAAAGATGGATCTAGTTGACTTTATATAAAGGTAATGGAAATTTTAAGAAAGTTATTCGCTCTTGATTATTGCACTAAAGCTTTGGGGAGTTTTTTCCAATGAGAGCTTTAACTGCCGCGACTAAGCACTCTACATATAGAGTATAAACACAGCGATAGCATTAACATGCTAATTAAAAACACTTACGAAAGTATAGGATCTCCTAATGGGATCTTAAAAGTGTTTTGCCAAGTTATCGACATGACTTAATACGCACCCTGTAAGGGATCATTTCATATGTTGTGTAGTCTTATCTTGTGTATCTTATCTGATGGCTTTGGGTGATTTTTTTTATTTGAACACCTGCACACAATCAATTTTCGGTGTCTTTTCGTTTAATTGATTTCAATCAACGGAAGAAATTGGTTCCTGTCGAACTAGATGCCATGTAAATGGGCCTATCAGTTGACCTTTACACATTTTGCCAATTAGTCGGTTTGCAAAACGTAACTCGAAGGTCTCAGAATCGATTGTAATAAACTCGATAAGATGGGCTCGAACCAATTGCACATATTAACAGTTGCGGAGTACTTACCTTGCCGCGCGCGCGTGTAAACATGTCGATAAAGTTGCGGAAGAGGTATATCCCACTGGCTATGGAGCATATCCCAAGAACGACGATGGCCAGTCCGGCCCAATGACGCACCCGTGATGTCATCGTGGTGGATCCGCGTTTTGATGTTGGTGATGGGTGTTCTATATAGAAGGGCGTCTTCCTCTACCGATCTCTTGCTTCGTACTGAGTGTGGAACCCTAGGCACGATTACGATCCCGTTATTAGCGTCTATATGGGGAGAGAGTGAGAGAGAGAGTGGAGTGAATGTGAGAAATGCGGGCTTATCGCTGGCCTGCCGGAGAGACCACTACACAGTCTTATCACACTTTCGAGGCCCAGCCGGCTCGCCACCCCATTTTCTGAGGATCGAGGAACTCTTGGCAGAGACCTGCATTTCAGTACTGAGAGAGAAAGAGAGACGCAGAGCAGCCGATAACGCGCCCTCGCATAATAGCGATCACAAAGTTGAACTGCGACGTAATTATGAACATTTTCTGTCTAATTGTAATAGTGTTCCCCTGCTCTGGGAAAACCGCAAAATAAATAAATACATACATATGTAGTGTACATTTTACACACTAAAATGAAAACCTATAAGTGTTATTAGCATACATAAGTATATTCACTACCTAAAAGCTCTTAAAACCGTTGCCAAGATTACAGGATTTTTAACCTATTTATAGCCGAACGTTAAAATTTATAATTATGATACTTCTTATCTAAATATACATATTATTTTTATATCATTCATTTCTAAATGTATTGGTATTTTTCGTTGTAGTTATTATGAAGCGATTTATTTAAAAAAGAAGAAAAACGGTCCTTTGAAAGAACACAAGGGACCTAGTAGTGTGGACTAGCTTTTGCTTTACGCTTTTAACGTTTACGAGGGCGGCAGAATAATTCCGCAGCACTTACAGGAGACGCGGCACCTTGGACACACAGAGAGAGCCTTGACTATCAAAAACCCTTAATGTGTTTCCAGTTTTAATAAAAATAAATGTATAGGGTATTTCCCTGACGCACATGTACACAGCACCGATGCGAGTTCCACGTCACCTAGCGAGGACAGCGGTACCAATGTCCTCTTTTACATTAATTAGTCATAACTTTTTTTAAAATATATATAATGTATATTAGTTTTGGAAATTTCACTTTATTATACGCATATTCTATTCATTCTCTCAAACTCATGTATTACGTCAGGTGGTTCTATAGCATGATGTTATCAATTCACGGAATCTAAAATCAGACTATAGTTTTTTACATGTACAGAACAATGATTAGCCACACTTAGTCACAAAGTTGTGTTTGCACGCCTTTCGGTGTTGGCTAATACCTTTGAAATGTTAAGCGTAACATGACCATGTCAGCACAGCAATGTTGCTATTATAGGTCAGTACTAGAACATTAATTCGCTTAGTTATACAAGAACATTTCTTAAATCTGCTGTTTATTTAGTAATGCTGTGTTTAAACTAAACGTACTGATAACTCCTTATTAACCTAAAAACTCTCAACTTAGAATGACTTCACTGACAACACTGTTATGAATGCGAAAAAAGTACACACATGTAAGGCTCTACTACTACCATTGAAACGAGGCTTTTCAGTTTGCTGACTCCGAACTTTAATACTAGTGACTCGAGTTCTTTTTTTCCGTTTGCTGACTCTGAACTTTTTACTATTGATGTTTTCAGGTTGGAAAGACCGTGATTCACTGCGGCAGCACATTCCTCGAGTATTATTTGTTTTTACTCGCGACTGTGGGGACTGGATCAAAAACACGTTCACCTCTCCATATTTAATGTTCCGTACAACGTATTCCATACCCTGACACAACCATAAGTTCGTAGTGCGCAAGGGCGGGATGTGGGGGCGTTATGGTGAATACTGTTTACACTTCTTGGGGCTGGTTAGCAACCGCTGGCTGAGGATTTTGGCCTTAGTTACGGCCATTATTGGTGATAATTCAACGATTTCCAATATAAATTGTATATATTCTACGCACACGTACTGCGTCCAATGACTTTTTTGTTACTAATGCACAAGTAGCGAGGTCAAGAAGAAACCCGTTTTTGTTGTGGTTTCTTTCTTTATCTACAACAATGCCACCCCACATGCCACGCCCTCCCCCTGCCTCCCGCTTTTGCGCTCTGATTATTTCGCGCTTTACTACACCAGATTATGAACTTCACATACTGCCCAATCATTGGGGTAAACATCAATCACGCGAATCTCGCACATTGCGATTTTCCACGGTTAAAACAATATATTAACACTAGTTTTATCCTTGAACCTTGGTCGTCACTTCCGCAACCTGTTGACAATGTTTTCTATGTCTGTGCTCATCATGCTGCTTTATTTGCTCTTTAGCCTATAAATAACCAGCAATACAGTGCAATGTGCCAACGAAAATATACAAATTCGTACTTTCATACGTTTATATAGACATTTCCCCATTTCATCACTATGCGTCACTTCGGAATGCATAACTCCTTATCCACAAAAAGTAAAGAACTATTCTATTTGTGTTTGCTTTAAAAAATTATCTAAATTAGCAGTACAAAATTCAGAATCGGGCACGTTTGACTCTCTCGTCTTTGCGCGCTCTCTCTTTTTCTCCGCTCTCTTTCCTTGTTTTTCATATTTTTCTTACATGTCATTAACTTATTTATTAAACACTTCCACTTGCACTCCACGGACTTTATAATTTTTTGCCAGATACTTTTCAATTGATATCAATTTTTATTAGAGCGGGGTATAAATATTGTCTAAATAAAAGTCTGTGATCGTTTGCCCGCTGCGATTGTATTGCTTTTTCCTCAGCACGCGTCTTTTCTTGTGGTCTGCCGTCTCGCTCCCTCTCACAGGGTTCCGGGGGCGGCGACGCACCGTTAATTGTTGATCTTGAACTAACGCGCGCGAACGAGAGCGAACGTGTCTGAGCGGCGCTGCGCCTGCGACTAAATAAGTATTTTCCAAAGAGTCGCCACCAAGCAGCAATTATTTATTCTTCATTATGGGCCGAGCGCCCTCGTCTTCGCTGACAGGCAGATACCCTTTGCGGTAAATAACGAGGGGCAGTGTTACCAGCTGCTGGGAGTCAAATATTCCACCAAAAAGGTATTGAGGGTGTGACAGAAATTGTTTAGCGAAACATTCATCTGTACATTAAGTATGGACATATGTATTTTCCTTAATTTGGAGCATTTGGCGCCTGCAATTATACGATTTTAGTAAGCTGTCCCATACAAATGCAACTTCCGTACTTCCGTAAATATCAGCAAATACCCTCTGTCAAATGAAAATTGTTATTAAATGTTATGGTTAAGTATGTACACAACTACTAGTATAACGTTTCTTGAAATTTTTTTTGTTATGAAGTTGGACTTAACGTTAAATTCTGATTCATGACTAATTAGTAACCTAAATTAAGGGACTTCACCAAATGTAGAGTGTAATCAGATAGCGGCGCAAATGAGCGCTCTTTTCTCGCTCTCTCTCTCTCTCTATATGTTTTTTTTTGCCAAACTGGTTTTGGCTTGTGGTGCAATGTAAACATTTTCTTCAATCGGTTCTGAATCGGTTTAGCCAGCTGTCAAACAAAAGTGCTTCGAGAAAATTTCAGGCGGTTTATTACATTGCTTATATTATGCGGTTCGTATGTTTTCGAATGTACCATGTAAATTCGAATTACACATACATAAGTGATATTATTTCCTTATCATTATTTATCAGAATTAAGTGGTTTTTTCCTTGTGGAGTTATGTACTTATCATAAAGGTGATTCAGTGTGATACAAAATTTCATTGGACAAACCCAAACAGTTGTGAAAGAACCGAAACAAGTACAAATTCTATACACATGTATGTACACATGTCCGATTTTTTTCATTGGCCTTAAACTAAACTAGGCAAGAAAAAACCCTGCAAACTTAACTCTATGACATGATACACACTTAGTAAACTGAAACCCTCAGTTCGAATTTCCCGCCACGGTATACTGCAATCCTATCAGCAGCGGCGAGTCCTCCACACTATTATTTTTTATGGGGTCGGACGTTCTGGTCGTCTCCAGAGCATTGATCTCGATCTTCTGCATTAGGGTTTTCTGCCAAATCATCTGGTGAGGATACCAGAATACCATAAGCACGCCCAAGGACGCGCCTAGGACACCACAGATTTTGCCCACCAACTCTAGGATTGGTATTAACTTCACGTATCCTAACAGATCGTCAGTGATGCGCACATTATAATCTGCCCAGATCAACGGGAAGAACGTCTTTCTCGCATTGCGATAGATTCTGAAATAATGAGAAAATATAGAACAAGTTTTGCAATTTTTTCACTGCGTACTTACAAATGCGTTTTGGGTTCGACTAGCAAGTTGGCCATAATGCGGGCCTTGATCTCCAGCACCATTCCGGTTTTGGGCTCCAACATAATGACCATCGCGTGGCGATCCTTGTCGGGCTTCATGCCCTCCACCTGATCCGCGTAGTATGGGTCGGCTTGATAAAAGTGCGGGTAGGATGCAAAAACTGGAGCCCCATACCAGCAGGAGGAGATGTTCAGGAGACCAGACCTCACCTCCTGGCAGTTTTCTTGGCAATAGCAGCTGTTATCAGGATTGTCAGTACCTGCGATGGAAAGGTTTATATCCTTATAATATCGAATTGACAGCAGGGGAAGCACAATTGCGAAAGTGAGCTTGAAATCGAAATGAATATATGCTGACTATGTAGGACTCACCATTCGCCATGTTGCGCGCACTGCCCTTGTACACGAATGCCTCGACGCCTTCGAAAAGAGTGGTGCCGTAATAGTCCACCTGTAGTTCGCGGCACAGATCCGGCAGGAAGTAGGATATGGGTCTGCCTTTCACCAGCGGTATTGGATGGAATTCCCCAGTACTGCCCTTCAATTTGCACCTGGGACTGGCTTCTGTGACGTTGTTGTAGCGCCACTGAGCTATTTGACCCAGTTTATCAAACTTATCACGTCCTGTGTAGACATTATGATGACCGTAGATTTCCATGCTGCCGTTGCGCTGGAAAAAGAATAAAGTTCAGGATATAATCATTGAATACGAAACAAATACGGCAAAAGACCAAAAGAATTATCTGACTGATTTACATTATTTGATACAGACAAAATTTAAATAAACTGCGTACAAAAAATAAGGTACAAATAGTGCTTAGATTATAAAAATGTTTTATAAAGTTTTGTATCTATAATGTTGCCACTTGTCGTTTTTTGTATTACTGAATCTTTCTAAAAATATTTATTTTCTATTAACTTACTGGATATGCGTAGCCGATCTTCTCATAGGGAAACTTCATCTCCGGCACGAGCTTAGGCGGCATCATTTTGCTCATCTTGATCAGCGGCGTGTCGAACCCGTCGAACATCCAATCGCTGGCAGGACGTACCATCGTCTGGTCCTTACCGTAAATATTTAAAGCAATCATCATTAGGGATCGCAGCATAGGACTCCACAGCATCATCTTCTGGTACAAGCCCACGATTAGCAGGTTGGGTGCCACGATGGGATCTGAGGGAAGTCCAGCACTGAGATTTTGATCGAAGTCGAACCGACTGCGGCGCTTATAGGAAACCGTTGAGTTCTCATCGTGCCACTCCACATTGACCTTCTGCATCCGCTCCGTAAAGCGGTAAGGTCCGAGTTCCTCAAATCGCGGCTTCACTGTAGGATCGCCTATGCTCTCTGAGTTAGTCCAATTGAAAATATACAGATCCACGTTTATATCCATGGAAGGCGACTCCCACAGAGTGCTAATCAGAGTTCCGGGTCTCAAAACCATTAACCACTCGATCATCCAACGTTCGATCTGATCCATGTAAACTACCGAGAAAAGACTGAAGGTGGACAAAACTAGACCCACCGCACTAGTCCGCCAAATGCGTTGTTTTCCGATCATAGTAATGGGTCGTATGTATGTTGTGTCGCGCTGGACCTGAAGCAGGAAAAAAGACGTGCAATGTTGTTAACATACAAATTAACCATGCTCAACTTGTTTTAATAAACCTTTATTACTGGTGTTAATTAAGTAGCGCTTACATTGTAGCCTTAACTATGCAAACGCATTCTATGCAGCAAACTTCACCACCGTTAGCTAATTACTTTGTATTTATAGGGAGTATGCACATACTTTGTACATTATACATGTAGAAACTGTTGGCACATGAATTACATTTATAATAATGATAGACGTTAGAAAAATGTAAAAACTCAAGTAAGAAAGCTCGATTGTAGCCCACAACATTTATTTATTATTGTTTTCAAATGCTTCTCGATTCCGTTAAGCAATCTTTTAATCTGTTTCAATACCTGAAGGTTTAATACTAATGATAAAGCAGGTGTGGAGAAAAAATTAAGATAAGTAATCATACATTTCAACGTAGTCGTTTGCGACTAATAATTCACTGACTACTAATAACGTTGTTTTCTACAGTAAAGTAGATAAAAGTTGAGTTGTAATTAGCTTTTGTTCTTACCTAAATTATGAAACGGTTTGTGTTTTGTATTTGAACTTTTTTAATATAATTAATTTTAATTTATAGTTTAACAAGGCGTGTACCTAAAAGTATTCTGCATGAAAATTTCATGTTGTTTTCAAGCTTTCGTTCTTATTAATTGTTTTATTTAGCTTTAGAAAGATTTAGAGAATAACAATTTTGCAATAATGATCCATTCCGATAATGGTTTAAGATCTTCTTAAATGGTATTTTTTGAAAAGAATGGTTCTTAAGTTACTCACTTTGTTCGGCCCTTTTCCCAATGTTGTGTCTGCAATGATGCAGACTGATTGTCTGATTTCTCCCACTTCCTTATGATGACTGATCCGAGTCCAAGTCCACGCAGCAGGGTGGAGGTTATCTGGTACCTCTGATAATGCAACTCAAGTTGTACATGTTCTCGACGGAATCGCCTCTAAAGAATCTGTGGAACTATTTTTATTAAATTTACTTTGCGTCCTGACTAGATCAGTGGACGGAATGAAATGTATGTTCGAGTATCTGTAACTCTTAGTCTTGTGGGTGCGATCGAACCACTTCGAATGCCGACTTGATAACGACTGAACTGACGGTAGGAAAATATTTTCAATCCGACGGCTATATAGAACGGCGAGAAAAATAAACATAAATGTCAGAACAAAATGATACAGAACATAAAAAGAAGTTAATTTAGGCACTGAAAAGAAAAAAGCTGAAACTGAAATAAAAAATAAATCGTTATGAAAAGCACTTCAAAATGTTCTTAAATCTTTTGAACATTACAGTTACTAATATAATGAGATCCTTAAAAAAAAACTCAGTTAAATAATGTATTAGGTTGTTGTAAGTATAGTGGAATTTATTACTAAAAAATCATTTACAATTTCTCCCAGTGTCCTTAAAGACTAAGGTTTATAGTTTATAAATCGCGTATAGCTTAAATGCAACGCTCCGGTTCAATGGCTCCATGTTCTGGGGTTACCATTTAACGATTCCGTCAGTGACTTATATATTACAGTTTCCTGCACCGAGAGACTCGCATTACGAGCAATATAAAGTAAACTTCAACCTGCGATTTATGTTCTGAATGGCCGTTAGTCGAATTCGAGTTTCTTACCTCATTGCCTTAAGGGTTTCGCCCGATAAGCCATGGAGCCCCAATTTCTAATCGCTTGCTCCCAATTGGCGATGGCTCAGGGCGATAAGGAGAACCCCGGCGACCTTATAGCAGTGCATTTCGACGCAGGCCATCTTTCATTTAAAACATGAAAAGGGTGATCTTGTTTGATATAACCGATCGATGGCTCTAATCAGTTTGAAATATGACAGCACAATGAGAACCCTGGTAGAGGAACCGACCTAGTGGTGGCCGATCGAATGCATTGAGTGTTCGTTTAGATGTTAATGATCGCTTAATCAATGATTAAAGGCAATTGTTTATCAAATATTTATCAAATAAACTGTGAATACCTATTCAGTGTCTTTTGACGAGTTTACAGGTTAATCGTACTTTTAACGAAACCTTGGGTGAGTTAGTTTAAAATGTTCAGTATATGGATGTGTATAAGCAAACCATAATGCATTTTTAAAACAAGATAATTATAGTAATTATAGTAATTATTTGGTATAGTAATTATTTTGTTCCAGTAGAAATGTTGTTCAGAAATTTTAAACTTTATTTTTTAGTACAAGTACAAGTTAAGTATCAGTTATTTTTCTTGTACGTGATTTTCATATTTAAAATTCGTTATCAGAAATATTTTGTTACATTTAACCTTCTTAAGAGGTGTCTTCGAGTATACCCAATGGTATTTATTTATATAGATAGTTTTGGCTAAATGGGAATGTTATACAGAAACTACAAAGCCTATATAAAAAGGAAAAGTTAAATTCTTAATATATAACGGCATTCGCTGTTTCCATTTCAAACATAAGCGTTGCCTGCTTGCCAGACGGATCGTTGCCAGAACGTCTGTGGTTGCAGTCACGGCTAAACGTCTATCAAAGCACTCCACCTCCACTAAGCGTATTTTCGGTGGTTATATCTAGTACATTTTCAGGTTCCTGCTACCATATGGAAAAATAAATAAAGAAACAGCGGCAGTGCGACTCGGGCTATAAAAGCGAATCTCAGCCTCCGAATTTAATTCAGACGCGCACAATCGAGCCGAGTGACAATTACTCCCAAGCGGAAGTGAAATAATCAAGTGAATAACTGCGAACAAGAAGCGGAGAAGCATTTACGAAGAATTGCCGGCATCTTGCATAACTGATAAATAAGAAATCCACACAAAATGCAGTCCATGGCCAGACAAACTGCGCGCACTCTTCCCCAGATGGGCAAGCAAGGTGTGTGCTAGCGGGTGACCACTGTGCAGAAGTGTTGATCCTAACGGTCTATTTTTCGATCTACTAGTCAGCTATCTTTCGACGAGCGGAGCCTGGAGGGCAGCACCTGGAGGAGGTGACATGGTGGTCGAGATCACGGAGCCGAAGACCCGCACCGAGAAGCTGATGGCCTTCCAGAAGAAGCTGCGCGCCAAGACGCCGCTGGGCAAACTGGACGAGTTCTCGCGCCATCCCTACCAGGAGAAGGAGCCCCTCAAGCCCTGGCCGAACCAGACTAATCCGTATACGGGCGAGATCGGCGGACCCGCTGGTCCGGAGCCCACGCGATACGGCGACTGGGAGCGCAAAGGACGCGTCTCCGATTTCTAGTCCCCAAAGAGTTCCTTACCTAGTACTTAGGCTGTTATTTAAATGCTACCTATTAAGACTTGATAAATGAAAAAATGTATACTCGTGGAAAACTATTGTATAGTGTACAAAAAATACATCATAATTTTAAAGCTAAAAGTTAGTTACGTTGAATTCATTTGGATGATCCCGCTGGTTAAGGCTTTAATAAACGGTTTAGGAGTTAAATACAGGAAATACTTAAAAAATAATGTTGAAAATCCCTTTTATATCAAGATAAAAATTAAAAAATATTTCCTGCTCTTTTTCTCTATCTTTCCTCTCTCGTTCAAATGAATCATGTTTTTGAAACTACTGTTTCGACACTTGTGACTTTTATTAAGTATTTTTACAAAGTATAAATATATTAAAATCTACCCAACCGTATAGCTAATGCTGCTCCTCCTCCAGAAGCTCGGAAATCAAGTTCTCACTGAGTTGCCAAAGTTGTTGCTGCAGTGAAGCGCTTTTGGACAGTTTGCTGGGCTCGCAAAAGAAGCAGTTGTTGAAGTACAGTCCGGACAAGCCTGTCAGCTCGTTGGCTGTGGCGCAGTAAATACTTGTGGCAGCAGCTTGTTGCTGAAATGTCGCGTAAAAGAAAACAATTAGTGAAAGTTTTCGGAAACATAGTTTTCTTTCCCAACCCACCAGGGACTTGGTGAAGGGACGCACTATGGCGAAGAGCAGGCGGTAAAACCAATAGTTTCGCGAAATATCGGTGGATACCATATTGCCCGGATGCACGCTGAACACAGATATTCCTCGTTGCTTCCAGCGCTGGAAGAAGGGTTGAGACAATGTATCTAATTGACCCGAATCAAGCCAAACTTGGGCATGACTCACCTGGGCAAGTTCCTGGGCGAACAAGACATTGCACAGCTTGGCATTGTTGTAGGCCATCATGCTCCAGTATTTCTCAGGCGACGGAGAGAGATGATGCACCGCCAGATTCTCCACGGGCAAGTTGGCAAATCTGCAAGGGGCACAAATTGTTAGCGATGCATTTCTTTGTCAGTAGTCCCACACAAACATTCCTTCTCCAGCTAAACCCACTGGACTTTGCCCCCTCCGACCGACAATCGCAAAACGAGTCTTGATTGGCATTGCCGGCTGGCATAGCCGGCTCTAGACGCTCTGCTTTGATGAGATGCAGAGGGCATAAACGGATCCAGCCCAGTACAAGGCACACAATAGCTGGTGACAGTGACTAAGACCCACGGACAATGGCGACAACAAGTGGCTGCCGAACAAAGCCACACAATAAACGAACAAGGACACTGGGATATGCATATTGAACTCCCTAGTGAGCCCCGCTATCCTCCCATTTTACGGGGGAAGCCCCGGCATTTTCACGGATAGCGCATGTGCAAGTCGCATAGTTCCCGAACCCGCAACATGAAAACATTTCTATCCACAGAAACCTCCGCGTACATTTTGGACTTTGGATTTGTTTTCATTGAATCTTTGCGCTCGGCTTGGGGGCGATGTAAATATAACGTCGCAAAATGTATGCAAATTCAGTCTTATTTATAAGTATGGGCCGTACTCGGCATCCATAATAAATATAACCCGTTGTCGTTGTTTTTTGTTTGTTGTGGTAGGTGCTGGCTGAGCAAGTAAGTGTTCTTTGTCGGGTCTGGCTGCATGTATTTGAACAAATTAAAAATATTTGCATACTGATAAATGGCCGATGAAACTCGTTTAAATTGCAAAACGATAATCTGTTTATTTGCCATTTGACGTGGACTTTTAGATGATGAACATTATCTTAATTATCAAAATGTATCTTAATTAATTGTATGTTATATCTTTTTATATTATTTATCAGATTGGAAGATATTTACAATGTACATTGTACATCTTATTATGGAATAAATTTAAAAATAATGAGATTTAAATTAAGAAAAATATAAGAAGCCATACAAATACAAAAAAGTTTTGGTTTTTTCTGCATCTCTGGGAAAAATGTGGTTAATTAATAATTTCTACATCACTCTATGGTGTAAAAACAATTGTATTTGTTTTTCTGCCGTTTGAAAGTGATTATCAGTTAGCACCGACTTATGATTGCTCGCATTGACCCCAATAGGAACTGAGTGTAATTCATCATATCTGAAAGGTTTTGGTGGCATACATGACTATCTGCGAGTACTCCAAATGGCGCACGAGACTTTTGTTGCACGTTCGCCCTGGTGAGAAAGATATGGATATGTATGTGCCCGCTCCATGAAGCCAAAAATGTTGTACGTGAGCAAAGCAACGAACGCAGCAGATACAAAACCACCTCCAATAACAACTACATACCCCAATTTAGTGTTGTTGTATCGTTCTTCCGTTGCTTCACGAGATTCGTTCACCCATGATTTATTTATTTTTGACAGCATGCACAGTGGGTCATACGTTCCCCTAAATTAATCAATCTAATTAAGCGAGTTAGCGCAGATTAGGGGAATTGTGGGTGGCTGATTGAATTTTCCTTAACTCGTGGTCTTGATTTGAACAGTGCAACAGAAGTTTATCATGCTAAAATTCAAAAATTATTTGCTTGTACAATAAACTTAGATATAAATTTAAAAAGTTTTTCTTTAGGCTTGTGTATGTTTCAATATTATTTACGCGTTGGCTAATAATAATAATATTTTTTAAGACCTGTTTAACTTGTTTATTCCACTGTGGTTACATCTGCACGTGAGGGGGATCATATGGCTTTATGAACGAACCAGTGAGGGGGAGCAGATGGACTGGGGAAGTGGTTATGGTTTTGATAATACAATCACAGCTGCGTCACAGTCGTAATTATTTTTCTTTGGGCCTTTGTTTGAGAGTGCGCAGCACAAAATGTAAGCGAAGCCTTTGGTTGGGAAAAAATAATATATTCCAATCCGAGTTCAATTACGTTTCGCCTTGAAATCGGACCAAACCGAAAAACATCTTTTGTAAACAAAACAACGAGAGATGCGAGGCAGACAGAAAAACATTTTGGAAAACACTACACTAGCCGGCATGACCGAGGCGGAATACATTTATTTCTGGCCTGGGCTATGAATAGTTTGGCCCCAAAGCGCGAAAAGAAACCGGTCGGTCCAAAGTCCACTATGTGGATTCATAAAAGTGCAATCAACTTGCAAAAATAAAAGAGACGACTTGGCATGCCAGACACATTTTCAAAGCCGAGGGTGTCGACTATAAAGTATCCAACAAATTCTACTTTTTTTTAATTTTGAAATCTTAGAGATCTAGTTGTATTTTAATTTACCGTTACCGTGCTTGAGTTAATTATAATGGCTTTAAAAATGCTTAATGATGTTCATATAGCAATTTAAGTGACATTATCCAAAATTAAATCAATCGTAATATAGATATAATAAAAACTCAATCTGAATTTAACAGAAAAAAACTTAATCGTAACCATTTATAGGTACTTTCTTTTTATTCTTGTCATAAATGTAGTCAAATATAAAAATTTTTAGAATATGACATGTGCCAAAACTTAATTTCAATTAATAAAAATCCCCTTGTGATTTTAATAAAAGACATTTTATACAAAAACAGGTTGCAATAATGGCAAATGCTTGCGCTCAAAACGAGATTTACAGTGCCGGCAATAAAAAATGTAAATGATTAAAACAATTGCAAATTTAAAAAAATGGAGCAATGAGAGAAAACCGACCGACTTTAAATTTGTATATTAATAATATTTTTCAATCCACTTTTAAAACTTTTCACAAGGTAAGTTAACATACCCTTTTAAAAATGTATATATTAATTTATGATAAAACAAGAAAGGAAGTTAACTTCGGCAAGCTGAAGTTTAAATACCCTTGCAGTTATAATCACAAACTTTAATTCAAAATTCTTAAAAATACAAAAAATGTAATTCCCAATAGTATAAGATAATATGTCAAAAAACACCGAAGCTATAATTTGTTTCTTATTATTTTCCAAACAATTTTCCGATAGTTCCTACACCCAAAAAAAATCTTCGAGTGTCAATTTGCTAAGTGTGAGTGAAAATGACACTACACCTAGGATGTATGAGTGTCAAAAGTATACTACATTGTATGAATCATTTTTTGTATCCTAATTAGTGTCATTTTGAACAAATCCAGGGTCACGTCGATACCAATAATTGTATTTCTATTTTTGAAATGCGAAATGCACCTATCGTGCAAGCAAGCGTAGTTATCGATAAATCATTGTGAGCTTGACATTGTGTAAAAGACGACAAATATTTCAGTGCAAGGTGCTAGTGTTTATTGAATCAGGTAAATACATTCCTAATAATATAATATATACACTAAATACATATTTTGAAAGTGAGTGTGGCTATTTTTATTGGAATATTTTTATCTAATTTCTACTACGAATTTGCACAGCGTTATTTTTTCCCTTTGTTTTTCTGCTAAAACAATGTTATCAAAAAAAAACCCCCACCCTAACCCAACTATTTTCGTAACTTTATGGTTTCTAATCATTGATTAGTAACCAACATCTTAAACTTTTTGCCAAATAAATCCAGCAATGAAAATACCCACCATACCAACTTGTATCAGAAATAAGTAGCCACACGGACTATATCTTACCACACTTAACCGGATCATATGGTCAATTACAAATTTGTCCATTGAGACGTTATGTTTTGCTGAAACAAACTATTGCCGCTAAAGAATCCCTATAAACTGTACGCTTAATCTTAACTTTAAAGACTTTATTGTTCCGATATCTCAGCGTTTATACGGACGGACATGGCTAGATCGACTCGGTTACTGACCCCGATCAAGAATATATGTACATCACAGTGGACGGCAGTCCACGTAGTAACGAAGCGCACCATATAGCAGCATAATTTTAAATCTGCTGTGATAGTCAGATCCTAGCGAGTGGTACTCTGATCGAAAGGTATAGCAAACACTTAAAGGATTGCATACCATGACTTTAAGATAATTAATTGGTTATGGAAATAGATCAATAAAAGTGTAAAAGGTAAAATTTATAAAATTGAAGCTTTCGGGACCTGCACTTTTTGGATTCCTGGTGATAATATGCGTCGAAGGACACCACGTTTGTTAGAATCCGATGCTCCGTTCAAGAGTTTTGACCAAACAAGATATTGGGGACTTTTCAAAATGATAACTTTATTCTGTTTGTCAGTTTGTGTGTTTGTCCTAAAACGTTGTTTTAGCGTCCTGGAAATTGTATATGATATTAAACAGATGCATTTAAGAAACTTAAGTTTTACCATTTTTGGAAAAACCCGCAGTTTTAGCGGGAAAACAGCTATAAATAGCTAAATCTCGAAAGGCTGTAACTTCTGAACCCCTAAAGCTACAAACCTGTGGTACATGTTGCTGAAAAGATTTTTTTAAATATTCACGGCTGCTTTACATAATTGTAAACATTGTTGTAAAAATTTACAATTGAAAGTCATTAATCAACAAAAGTGGCCACTTTTACCAGTTTAGAAAACTTATGGTGCCTCATCTTTGAATATTGTTTGAGCCAATCTAAACTCTATTTTAAGGTCTTGGAAACCTTTGAATGATGTAGTGACGATCGCGCCTTCAACATACGAAATTTCTAATATCGACTAAATAAATAAACTTTCATGTTCTCTTTCGGCACTTCGCAATAAAATATGTAAGCGAGATGCTTAGAGATTTTGCTGAATCGGGCAGAATGAAAACATTTTTGAAAGTGTATTTATTAAGTCAAATATATAAGAATTTTTCGTCATTAAATTTGATATCAGAACTTTTGTATGTTAAATGTACGATTTTCCCGACCCCTTGCCCCGTTAAAAGGTGTTTTAACTTAATACTTTATAGGGTCATAAATAAATAAATAATATAAAAACACTTTTGTGTTAAAACCATGGTTTTCTTTCCGCCTAATTTTTTCACAATTTTAGGAATTATGTTTTCGGCTGGGCAATCGCAAATCTAACTGTATTCACGTATAGGAATTAGAGATAGGAACATCTTACATTCCAGAACTGCCATAGCTTACATATGTGTACCTATTTACGTGCTCAAGTAGGGGAATTTATATTTACCTGTGCGACTCGGATGACAGCACAACGATCCGTGTTTTGTAATCAAACAGCGTCTCCAGTTGCAATGTCAGGTAGAAATGGGACAGGTGCGAGACTTGGAATGTGGTTTCCAGACCATCCTCCGTCTTTGTGTAGGGCAGTGCAAATACGCCCGCGTTCAGGATGAGATAATCAATGTGGCTGCAATGCATTTATAAGGTTTAAACTATGTGCTATTTGAGTTAGAGCTTCTTTAAGCTTACCTAACGCTTTGCTTGATTTCCCTGACAAATCGCTGGACTGATCGCAAGGAACTGAGGTCAAGTGCGGCAAATCGACAGCGGGAACGGGCTGCGGGTCGTTCCTGGGCAATCCTTTCGACGGCTGCCTCGGCGGAGGTCCTGTTTCGGCAGGCGAAGATGATCTCACAACCATGTTGAGCCAGCGAACGGGCAGTTTCGAAGCCAATGCCGCAATTGGCACCCGTAATCAAGGCCGTGCGTCCGTGCAAATCCTTGCCATGCAGGACTTGCAGGGCGGTGGAGCAGGAGTCAAATCTCTGGCGGACCTGGGCCACATTCTGCGTAGGCTCCTCCACGGCGAAGGCCAGGCGAGGATCCACATTCGTTCGCTGCTGCGTCTCCTTGTTCAGGAACATGAACCGCTTTCCCTGCTCATCGTAGTACTTCTCCCAGCCCAAGGGCAACTCCCCCGTAATCCGCTTGGAGCGACCTGTCCGCGGGTGTGTCCACTGTGAGGTTTTGCCCTGTTGGCTAAAGATATGTAAATATAATTAAATTATATTATCTTTTGTTTACGACTTCACATTACCATTGGACTTACTTCACATAGCAAACTGTGCCGTCATCGGTGGCCCGCTCCTCCCAGCCGGGTGGCAGCTCATCCTCACTGTCCGTGTCGGGAAGGGACATCATTTTATTGGATTGGATTTTATATTTAGTTTACGTCTACTTTTTACTAAAATGATACTTTTTTGGCGAAACAAATTCCAATTGAAATTTCAGCTAAAATAAGTGTTGGAAAGTTTGCAAGGGAGAACAGCTGTTCCGATTAACAGAAGTATGTTCGGCGCAACCGGTAAGTTAACATAACCGGTTGGCTATCAGAACGGTTGGTCAGATGTTAATTTGAATTTAACAACATTTCCCCAAAACAAGATAGTTGTTAGATATTTCACATTGTATCGTTACTTTTCACTTATAAAATGTTGATAGCATCTATCTGTTTAGTTTATTTATCGTTTTCATCCTTGCATTGTTCAGGTTTGTCAGTTAGCTTATTTATTTTGTAAGAAAACAACAAGTAAAAACAAAAAGGTATTCACTATAGTGAAATAGGCTTAAATGTATTTCTAAAGATGTGTAATAATAACCTATAATATAAAGATAAGGCACCATTTTCTTTTGCAGAAATAAGTATCAAATAAAACTATTTTGATTCCTTATGGTATGGATTAAAAGATCGATTCGTTTTATTAAGTAATCACACATGGTGTGAGGGTGTCAGCCAAATAATTACGCCTGCGAAGCAAACCCATTTTTTGCTCAACAAATTGATTACATGGTGGAAGGGAGCTCAAAAATCGGAAGAACAGTTACCTAATTTATGGACAGACCCTTAACAGGTAAACGATCTCGCAAAAAAGAATGAAATCGCATAGTTCAAAAGTTAGTATCAGCCTGATATAAAGTTAGTATTGTAAGTGACACAATTAGATTAGTAATTAATGCGAGCCTAATCAAATTAAGTAAACAAGAATTGAAAGATTAAATACATGCGATAAATTCCAAAACCAGTTAAGTGTATAATCCACTTTTGCAAGGTCAGTGCATCCAATAATAAAATATACCATAGCTAGTTTTACTATACATATTATTGTTTAATTTATTATTTTGTATAATTTAAAATGATTTCTTGGCTTCCTAACAAAAAAGTCAACTATCTTAGGAACTAACGCTTAATAATTTAAAAGCCGTAGAACAGTACCAGTTTGGTGGGATCGTGGCGCACTAGCACCATGAATGGAGTGTCTCCGCGGAAGAGGACATCTGGTCCGGATTTCTTGAGGTACGTGACTGTAGACGCCGCCGCCTCCGTTCCCTGCTTTGTGGACGATGTCGTCCACAACCAAATCGGATTGAGCCCCTCCCGCTCCGGCTCTTCGCTGGGCCTCCAGGTTCTGCAGGCTATTTCCGCCTAGCGAACTCGTCCTGGAGACCTCGCTTGTGGCGATCAGGGAGAGATCATTCTGCACGGTGCTGAAGATGCCGCCCAGACCCATTTTCTGCATGACTGTCTTCAGATTCACAGACTCGGTGAGATGCATCTTCGGGAACGCCACCAGTGCCTGCCGTCTGTACATCCTGCTGATCAAATCCTCCACCTTCTCCGGTGTCAAACGCTTCTGTAGTGTCATAAGTTCGACCACCGACGACTTAAAGGGCTGGATGATATACATGGTGCTCAGGTTTCCCCGGTAGGGCAACCCAATGATCTTGCAGCCAAGCTCGTGATCCTCGTGGTAGGGATACGATCCTCCCGTGGCCATCATCTGGACCCTCACCACTGGCTCAGTTCCCTCGCCGTTCGGATAGAAGTTATCTGGCCGGGTGGCCGATTCGATAAAGTCCGTCTCCCAGAAGGCCTTAAAGTACAGCGCGTTGGCCAGAATCATCCTGGTGCTCTGCGGAATATCGCTGGAGATGATGTTCTCGATGCGGTTCTTCGTGTTCCGTGCCACCCAGGAGTTGATGTTGTAGCGCGCTGTTGCCGGACTGCCCTCGAAATCTTGAGCCTCCAGATCCGAACCGTAGACCATTGCGATAACCCGCCTGTAAATGGACAAAAGTGGAGCACATGAGTAATCAATCAATAAAGCGTTACCAATTAGGTATGCAAACGTCGTTGGGTAAAGTGGGGCAAGATTGTGGGAGGCTAGGCATGGGCTGGAGTATTAGAATGTATTTTTAGCTACAGTTCGACTTTAGGCAAAATAATTAATAACTGAGCGAATGGCTAGTAACTTCAATTGCTTAAAACAGATTTATTTTACATTCTTAAAACAAAACCTTGTTACGCTCTTATCAGTGAGTTTTATTTCTAAAATATTTTAGTTTTCTTAAATTGAAGTTGCTTAGCGAAATAAGATAGCTAAGTGCCAATTTCAGGATTGTTGATATTGTTGATTGCCTTATCTTAGCTGAAAATCTGCCATTTCATTACGGTTCCGGTAAGCTTATTACCCTTTTATACCCATTTATGTTCTCTCTTTACCATCAATATTTCTCACACCAACGATCACACTGGGAAATTTTTACAAAATGTAAATAATGACTGTTCCCCGTTAAATTGTAAACAAAGTACGTATATATTTCTCAATGAAAGCTTGCTTTTAAAAGTGTCATAAATAAATGTGAAATTACATGTGTTCGTTAGTCAACTTCTATTCCTACAAAAAGGGAAAAACCTTTTTAAAAAAAACTCTTCAAAGGCTAACGACTAGTCTCTTCAATGGAATAATAAAACTATTTCAAATCTCTTCACTACTTGCTAGATCCCTGAATGTCAAACGATCTTCAAAAGGAAGGAGACTTTAAAAAAAGGCGGAAAGCCTTGAGTTTTTGCAAGCAAAACAATAACAAACGAATGTATGCTTTTGTTATTGTTCTTGTTTTTGTTTTTTACTTCCTGGTTGAGCCGGGGCAAAAAAAATGTATGGCAACGCTGTTTTTGGATCTTAGGAAACTGAATTTATTGGAGGCGGGAATCGCGTACGTTGCTGGTCACAAGGGAGACCTTAAGAAGGGCTCCCTTTTCATGACCAGCCAATTCACAACGCTTTTGAAAAACCCGCGCCCGTTCTTTTTGGTGTTTGACGAATTTCACCTTAAAAAAATACCGGCGTGGAGATTCGAATCCTGGAAGGTCATGGTGGTGGCCATTGCCACCCTCGAAGGGCAATTTATGCGATTCGTCCACATCCAAATGGAAAGTTTAAATTTCTGTTTATGTTTTTTTCGATCTTTGCTTTTGCCTTTGCCGCCGCGCGCTGTTAGAAATGCCATCGATATCGTATATCGTAGATATATCGGCACCGTGGCAGTGCAGTGAAATTTTCTGCCAAATGTAAAGCAATTTGAAAAAGGCAGTATTTTTTTGTAAAAGGTAAAATGTTTTGTTATTTATTTATTATTATACCCGTTACTCGTAGAGTAAAAGGGTATACTAGATTCGTCGGAAACTATGTAACAGGCAGAAGGAAGCGTTTCCGACCCCACAAAGTATATATGTATATTCTTGATCAGGATCACTAGCCGAGTCGATCTAGCCATGTCCGTCTGTCTGTCCGTCCGGATGAACGCTGAGATCTCGGAAACTATGGGAGCTAGGCTATTGAGATTTGGCGTGCAGATTCCTGAGCTTCTTACGCAGCGCAAGTTTGTTTCAGTAGAGTGCCACGCCCACTCTAACGCCCACAAACCGCCCAAAACTGTGGCTCCTACAGTTTTGATGCTAGAATAAAAATTTTAACTGAAATGTAATGTTCTCATCAATACCTATCGATTGACCCAAAAAAAAGTAAACCGCCCACAAACTTCAAAAAATCGTAAATATGAACGTGGATATCTCGGAAACTATCAAAGATAGAGAATTGGGATTTCAGAATTAGATTCCGTAGCCCTTTACGCAGCGCAAGTTTATTACGCGAATATGCCACACCCACTCTAACGCCCACAAACCGCGAAAACCTGTGACGCCCACAATTTTTATGCTAGATAAAAAAATGTGACTGAAATGTATTGGCCTCGTCAATACCTATCGATTGGTCCAAAAATTTGCCACGCCCACTCTAACGCCCATAACGCTTAAATCTGTATACCGCCGGTAGGTGGCGTATTTTAATCTCGCTTTGCTACTTGCATATCTCTATTTAGCTGAGTAACGGGTATCTGATAGTCGAGGTACTCGACTTTAGCGTTCTTCCTTGTTTTTTTTTTAAACTTTGCTAACAATCTTGTGACAAGTCAAAGTGGAGCCCAACTAAAATAAAATAAATGGAGAACAGGGAATTAAACGAAGGTAAGTACGAAGTGTTGTTTTGTGTTTGTGTTTTTTATAAGTATTATAAAAATAATATAAACGTTTGCCTAATGTTTTTTTTGCCATTTGATAGCATTTTTGTAGCTCTTTGCTTAGTGTTTACTAAGTATTTGCTTAGTTTGCATTTACACTAAACAAAGAGTTTAAAAAATGCTATCAAATAGCAAAAAAAAACATTAGGCAAACGTTTATATTATTTTTTTTTTTGCACAAACGCGTATGAATGTACGTTTGCGACCCGGCCAAAGGTATAAGTAAAAAAAATAATTTTTCAAAAATAATTTTGCTTATATTTTGTATGATTTTTTTGAGGTTAAGCAAAATGTTATTTGAAAAAAATTTTTTTTTCACTTATACCTTTGCCGACCAGTGTAGATTCCTTATGCCAATATTGTATTATCCCAAATTTAGCAATCCAGGCAGCGGTACAGGCTGCTGGGTCTGGCGGCCGTGGCGCACGCCATGCGTGCGCCGCAGATTCCGCCACCGCCACAACAGCTGCCACCGCCCTACCAGCAGCAGCAGTATCCTGCGCACTGGTGGAATCCTGCACCGGCGGCGCAGGCATATGTGGCGCCACAGCCACAGTGGCATCCTGCGCAGGGGTGGTATCCTGCACAAGGATTTGCGGCGCCACCGCCACTGTGGTACCCTGCGCAAGGGTGGCATCCTGCGCAGGGATACGTGGCGCCACCACAACATCAGGCGCTACATCCACAAGCGCAGGCGCTACAACAAGCGCAGGCGCTACAACCAGAAGCGCAGGCGCTAAAACATCAACCGCAGGCGCTACAAACTCCACCACACCCACACCCGCAGGAGGAGGTGTTGGAGAAGGCGGTGTTGGTGGAGCCGGAGGCCCAGGCTGCCATCCCCCCGTTGGCCCCCCTAATTCTGTCGCCGCGGCCATCAGCAGGGCGTAGGCGTCCTGTCGCTCCTCAGGAGCGGCCAGGGCGCCCATATCCAGCACTGGGAGGGCCTCGTCTTTCATTGCCTCCCAATGCCATCGAAGTGTCTCAGTGGCCACAGCTCCCCACAAAGGAACTGCAGAGTCACTTCGATGCCTTACCAGTGCTGGATGTGCTGGCAGAAATGCCTTTATTCGTATAAAGCCAGGCGCCACAACTGCTTGGCCTCGTCCCTCACCTATTCGTGCCCCTTCAGCTCAGTGGTGAAGAACCCTAGTGGGCATAGGGCTAAGTGCGAAGGGGACGGGGTCACGGCTTACTTGCCGGATGGCCCACATGCCACCCTGCGGCGACATTGGGCGGGCATCAACAACGGGGAGGTGCAGCAGCCTTCGAGGGAGTCTTCCATGTCCCCCATGACGCGGGAACTCAGTGAAGGGCTTAATGCCTTGCTGTAAGTATTCATAAAATTTGATTTGATTTTTAACTTTAATTATAATTTTTATATTAATTTCAGATCCCCTCCTTGAACGACTAAAGGGCATTGGAGGCTCCCGAGCGGCCACGCCGGACTGATTGCGGATGCAGGTAAGAGAAGCGTACGCTAGACGGGCATAGTGGTTAAACAAATATTTTCTTGTTCTTTTAGATCACCATCTCCCGGCATTACCTCCTTCGCTGCCATGGCCGAATGGTATCCTGCACAAGGATTTGCGGCGCCACCGCCACTGAGGATGCCACCCTTGCGCAGGGATACGTGGCGCCACCACAACATCAGGCGCCACAAGCGCAGGCGCTACAACAACAAGCGCAGGCGCTACAACAACAAGCGCAGGCGCTACATCCACAAGCGCAGGCGCTACAACAGCAAGCGCAGGCGCTACAACCACAAGCGCAGGCGCTAAAACATCAACCGCAGGCGCTACAAACTCCACCACACCCACACCCGCAGGAGGAGGTGTTGGAGAAGGCGGTGTTGGTGGAGCCGGAGGAGGAGCCGGAGGCCCAGGCTGCCTTCCCCCCGTTGGCCCCCCTAATTCTGTCGCCGCGGCCATCAGCAGGGCGTAGGCGTCCTGTCGCTCCTCGGGAGCGGCCAGGGCGCCCATATCCAGCACTGGGAACGCCCCGTCTTTCGTTGCCTCCCAATGCCATCGAAGTCTCTCAGTGGCCACAGCTCCCCACAAAGGAGCTGCAGAGTCACTTCGATGGCAATGGAAGACGACGCCTTACCAGTGCTGGATGTGCTGGCAGAGATGCGGTCATCCGTTTAAAGCCAGGCGCCACACCTGCTTGGCCTCGTCCCTGACGTATTCTTGCCCCTACTGCCCCTTCAGCTCCGTGGTGAAGAACCCTAGTGGGCATAGGGGTAAGTGCGAAGGGGACGGGGTCACGGCTTACTTGCCGGATGGCCCACATTCCACCCTGCGGCAACACTGGGCGGGGCTCAACAACGGGGTGATGCCGCCTTCGAGGGAGTTGTCGATGTCCCCCCAGTCGCGGCCACTGACGGTTATCCTGGCAATGATAATATTCATCTCCAGCAGATTAAAAAAATTAAACGCAGATAATTTCCCTAAATGTAGAAAAGCTGTCCTCTATGGACGAAATAAAATCCAAAAATGAGGAGTACTCCAAGACAAAAATTATTGTTCTTTAGAGCAAACCCACGACCGACCCGCATGCGGTCAAGAAACATAATGATTGTTTTGTTGACGAATCCCGAAATCGACAAGGGTCTATCGATTTTCTTGAACAACGGCTATCGATGTATGGCCAACGTTGCCATTATTTCAAATGGAATACTCACCTCTGAAAAGTGGCAAGCTCAGTGGCAGCCCGAAGGGTGGCAACGTTGGCCACACATCGATAGCCGATGTTTAGGAAAATCGATAGACCCTTGTCGTTTTCGGGACTCGTCAACAAGACAATAATTTTGCATTTATCACCGCAAAAAATTAAAAATTAAAAAAAATATATACCTTTCAGATTGGTGTGCAAAGTACAACGCACAAGCACATTAGGACGCTAAGCTACCAATTTTATACTTGCTTGTTTGTTATATTATCCGAATTTTTGCGGACATGTCCTATTTTCACAGCGAAGTTTGTAATAATCTTATCTAATATTTAGATTCTATTATAATTAATGTATTCAATTATCTAAAACTTAAAATCTTTAAAAACGCTTCATAATAGTTACCTGGCATGGTAAGCGGTGCATTAAGTCCAGTCTTGTCACTTCACCCTTGGTGCATAGATGCAGCGGCTCGCCCAGGAGGGTCGGCACTTCCAGGTGGGTACCGCACAGCGCCTGCTTCAGCGAGATCAGAGGCGTGTAGTGTAGATCGTACCCCTCCCGGCTAAAGAATGGGTGCGGCTTGTCCCGAAGAACGGTAACGTGGACCTGGGATCAGCTCCTTGCTCTACTTCCTCTTGCCCTGCTCCCCATGAGTTTCTGCCACATCGCAATTGACGGCGTTTTTAAAAACATAAGCTTTTTTGGAAAAATACAAAAGTTTTGATATTTTTATTATATTTATTCAAAAACATTGAACAGTTTACTTTCACGAAATATCCGAAAAAGCGCTTGAAAATCGACACAGGTGAACCTCTTAAGTCTCTGGGGGAGAATGGGTGCAGCCGCATGTGAGATGAATGTTTGTTCAAGTAATAATTATTATTATTGTTGTTCTTATTATTAGTATTGTTATTATAATTATTTTTAATTAATAACATTATTATGCGTCTATTATGCTTGTTAATTATAATAAAGTTGTCATATTATTATTAACAAATTTTGTTATTGTTCATTTTATTATTAGTATTGTTTTTATTATTTATATTTATTAGTATAAGCTTATTAACTAAATTAAAAGGGTTAAAGAAGATTAATTTTAATTATTATGCTTTTAAACCCTTTCATGCCCAAATTAAACTGGGGACAATATTTAATGCTATAAATGATTTATAGGAGCCCCAAGTAACTTTCATTCCGATTTTCGATACTCTAAGTCCTTTGGTATGTCCTTACTGCAATGTTGCCTATAGGCAACATTTATCCATCCATATATATAAAAAAGTACGTACGTATGAGTAATATTACCTTTAATTTATTTTATTTATTTATATAATGCTAACAAGTAATTGTAAACTAAATGCTAACAGTGGTCATGAGCTATAGCAGCTATAGGCCTTCAGCTCGTGTGGTTTAGTATAATTTCATTTTGTTTTCTATTGTCTATTTGAATCTAGCTTATTTTCTACATGGTTGGATATTTACAGTGTTTTATTTTTATGCTTATTTTAGATTTATTTTTATTTTATTAAAATTATATTTTATTAATAATTTTAGCTTTGATCAGGAAGTTTGAGATGATGTTGAAGTTGTCGATTGTGGGATTGGCTATACATAGGATGGGATCAAGGTTGTGGAAGGATTGAGAACGAAGTGAGGAGAGGGAGGGGCAAAAACATATTATATGTTGGATATTTATGCGTGCGTTGTTGCACAATGGGCACAAATCGTTTTTAGACGTGTCCAGGTCCTAGTCTGAGTCTGTTTATTATTATTTGTTGCCTCCTGCTCAAGGGAGAGTTTTTATGTAGGGAGTTTGACGTGGACGATTTGGCAATTTGTTGATACCAGTTAGATGTTGAATTAAGAACGTTTGTTTGTTTATCTTGTAGTTCTTTTTTTAAGAACTGTGTAATGTCGTTAGAGTTGTTGTTGGCAGTAAGGGTTAGTGGAAATTTAGAGGCCAGTTTGGCTGCCTCGTCTGCGTTTTCATTACCTACGAGTATTTTAGGGAAGTGTTTAGTGACTAGGTTTCTGACTGAGATGGCATAGTGCGAATGGTTGTTTTGGTTGGTGATCGAGGAGATGGAGGAGAGGGAGTCTGTGCATATAACATGTTTGCCTGGCATCTTTACGCAAATTTTAATGGCTTCCTGAATTGCTATTATCTCACTCGAGAGGACTGAGGAATAGAAAGGCAGAAGTCCCAGTTTGATCGTTGCTGTTTCGGTTGTGATGCTGTAGGTTGTTATGCCGCCAGATTTGGAGCCGCCGGTATAGACGAAGTTATGGATGGGGTACTAGGATTTGAGGGTGCAAAAGAGTTGATGGAAAATGGTTGGTGGTGTTGAATTTTTATTGTATTTAGATAGGGTGGTGTTGGTTGCTTTAATAATGCAATCCATGTTAAATGTTTTGCATTTATTGTTTTTGATTGGGAGGTAAGGAATTGATTTGGATTTGGATGATTGTATTACGCGGTCTATTATGCTGGAGTATCTATGGTGTCTTTTAGTCGATTTGGTAAGCTTTTTTAAAAGGTTTTTGGCTAGTTTTCCAGTTAAGAAGTCTCGCTTGTGTTCTATGGGACATATGTTGGCTTCTAATAGAAGGTTGTTTATTGGGGTGGAACGGAATGCTCCAAGACCTACTCTTATTGCTGAATTGAGGGAAGTTTTAATTTTGTTTAATTGTGATTTCGGTGCGTGTCCATAAATTGGAAGGCAGTAGTCTATTTTGGAGGTAATGAGTGATTTTATGACTTGGATAAGAGAGGCGGTGTTGGTGTTGTATTTGTGGGACGAAAGGTGCTTAACTATGCCTAATGGCTTGGACAGTTCGGCTTTTAACTTGGCTATGTGAGTGTTCCATTTGTATCTTTTGTTGATTGTGAGTCCTAGTATTTTGAGGGTGTCGGTGGTTGGTATAATGGTGTCTCCTATTAGTATCTTAGCGTTGCAGTTGTGTTTCCGGCAGATATGAAGTATCTGGCATTTGTCTTTGGAAAGGACTGAACCTGAGTGTGTGCACCACTCGTCGATTTGGTTAAAGGTGTCAGTTAAGTTCGTTGTGGGTTTTTTTCGTTTGTTGTGCTCTATGATGAGGTGAAAGTCGTCTGCGTAGGCGCAAAACTTCATTTTTCTTGGGATAGAGATGATGCTGGTAAGGGAGTTGTAGGCTATGAGGAATAAAATGGCAGAGATTGGAGAGCCTTGCGGGATCCCATTGTTAAGAGGGAAGGTATTGGAGAGATAGGTGTCGGTTTTGACTATTATTTTCCTATTTGTCATGAAGTTTTTGACGTAGTTGATTATACGAGCACCTATTTTCCAAACGTGTAGTTGCTGTATGACTGTGTGTATGCCAATTTTGTCTAAAGCCTTAGTGAAGTCGAGTGAAATAATTGTTAGGTGTTTCTTGAGGGCAATGGATCTGGAGGCTAGGTAGTCTACATAAAGTAGACTGTCTAGAACAGATTTGCCTCTTTTAAAGCCGAATTGGCTGTTGTGAATGAGTTCGTTATTTAGAACGAACCACCACAACCTCTTTGCAACTATTTTGTCGAGGATTTTGGCTAGGCATGAGTTCAGAAATATGGGTCTGTAAGATTTTATGTCCGTTTCAGGTTTATGTGGTTTCAAGATGGGTAGGACCAGGCTGAGTTTAAATGATTGGGGGATTTGTGAAGAGAGTATTTCATTGTAGAGGTTAATAATTCTTTGTTTAAAAGTTGTGGGGAAGTTTTTGATCATGCAGTAAGATTTGCGGTCGTGGCCTGGAGTTCTACCTTTCAGAGTGTTAAGTGCGGAGGAGAATTCTATGAACGTTATGTCTTTTTCGATTTCTATTGCCGTTTTGGTAGGGATGTAGCTTGGGGTAGGATTAAGGAGTTCTTTGTTGAGGCGGAAGGCTGAGGAGAAGTTTTGGTCGCCGGCTTCTTCTGACCAGGTTTGACCCAAAGAGTTAGCGATTTCTTGTGGGTCGATTGTAGGTGTAGGGTTGTTGAGGCAGTGGATGTTTTTTTGGGGGTATAACCCACATAGTCTTTTGATGTTTGCCCATGTTTTATTTGGGTTTGAGTATGGATTAATGTCGGAGGTAAATTGTTGAATACTGTATTTTTTGGCAACTCTGATGGATCTTTTGAATTGTGCGTTGGATTTTTTATACTCAATAATGTTATGTGTGTTAAATTCTCTATTGAGTTTCCTCCATTTTTTTGTTTTGTCTTTTTTGAGGAGAGACAGCTTGCTGTTACACCAGGAAACGGTGCGGGGTTGGGTAAAGGTGGAGTTTTGGGGTATGGATAGGTGAGCGCTACGAATAAGAATTTTTTTGATAGTAGCGGCTTCTTGGTTGACATTTAGACTATGGGAGCTTTTTGAGCTAAAACTTGTGATTTTTTCCTTGAATAGGTTCCAATCTGCATCTTTTAGTTTAAATGAGGGTTTTGCGGTAAAGGTTGGGACAGTTTGGTTGCGGAATATTGAAATTAGTATGGGAAAGTGGTCG